CTGCTTGCCTTTGCCACCCAAGGGCTGGGACTAAAAGCGTGCACCACCCACCCAGCCAAGAACCAAATTCATAATGGTAGGTGGAACATCAACATTCCTGACAAAAGATGATAGTCCCTGTTGGCCAAAAGAGGTAGCTCAGTTGTTGAGTAATTGCTTCTCTTCAAGAGGACCAGAGTTTGGCTACTAACACTCATATGACAACTTATAACCATTTATAATTTATAATAATTTATAATGAGAGATTCCAGGGGAACCTCTACCCTTTTCTGGCCTCCTTGGGTACCAGGCACAAAAGGGGCACACACATACAAGCAGACCCAACATTCATGAGATGACAGTCACATTTCTGAAGTGTTCGCTGGTGGTGAGTTGAGATGGTGTCCTAGGGGGAGGAACGCTTTGTGTTGTTTCCAGGTTTTTAAAATGTAAATGTGCCAAGTGTTGTGCAGAGGCTGAGGCAGAAGGATGTCAGGCTCAAGGTCATCTGGAAAACCATAGCTACTTCTTGTTTCAAAACAAAACTAATGAACATCAAACTGAGGGAGGTAAGAGAGGTGAGAGAGAAGATGGAACCATGGCGTCATTGCTATTGCCCATGATGACATATTCCCTAACATGGACGTCGGTGGAACATGTGGCCACTGGACCTTGTGGTAGTCCCCTATCCATCTGTTGGAGAATTTGCTCAGAACTGGGGCAACCTGAGTGCATTAGGATGCCTTAAGTGAGTGAATTAGGCTGCTTACATCAAACTCTTGATGTAAATCAAGAAATGATCATGAATGACGGGGATGAGTAACTGTGTGAAGGATGCCTTCCCAGCAGGCAGAACCACACGGAAGTACAGCCAGCTGTCCATCCACAGGGTGAAAGGAGAAACAGAGTCAACCTGTGTAGAGATTAACGGACAGTGATGAGTGATCAGGAGCCTGGAAAGAGAAAAATTAGAATATTAGAGACAAGAAGGTAGGTGCAAGGACATGAGAATGGGCACAAGTTAAAAGCTACAGAGAAACCCTGTCTCAAAAAGACAACAAAAAAATAAGACAAACAAACAAATAAAGAATCAGTATCTCATAAGACCTCATTGACCAGGAACAGCAGGAGATTGATGGGAGCCGGGAGGAATGCATATGGAACTCAAGAGATGCACAGGGGGCTTGAGCCCTGGTAGATTTTTGTTTTTGTTTTTGATTTGTTTTGTGAAATAGGGTCTCATGTAGCTTAGACTGGTCTCAAATTTACTATGTAGTTGAGGGTGACCTGAAACTCCTGATTCACCTGCCAAGTGCTAGGATTGCAGGCACATGCCACCATGCCAGCTTAATTATAACATGTATGGTGATGATATAGGAATAAAATTACCAGGATTTAGACCTCCCAAAAATGAGGATTTGGGACATTGTACCAGGTGAGCAGCTGATGTTAGCAGGGGAGTGGGGGCTCTGGATTGCAAAATACAGGAGATAGTAAGTTAGGCATGTCCATGAAAGCCATTGAAGCCACAGATTCTGTAAATCGTCCTGACCACCCACTTATATGTTTCTTATTAAAAAAGAGGCTTACCACATCCCTGGAAGAGCAGCTCCCCAAATGCTTTTAGGAGATGGAGCCACATGGCTCACAGGGCAAACTGTACTATAATAGATACAAAGATGTGTGAATTAAATCCTTTTAATCCCAGCACTTGGGAGGCAGAGGCAGGTGGATCTTGTGAGTTTGTGGTCAGCCTGGCCTACATGGTGAGTTCACAGTGAGACTATACAGGGCTACCCTGTCTCAATAATAAATAACTAGGTAAATAAGTAAATGAAAGACCCATATCACAGCTACTGGATAGATATATGGTGGTAAGCATCCATAATCTCAGAAGGTTGAGGTTGGAGGTGGGTGAGTTGAAGACCAGTCTCAGTTTAAATAGTGTGACTCTGACTCAGAACGAACTAAGCACCAGCAAAGGTTGACCCTAGCGGTAAGACGTGACAAACCAACAGCACTCAGCAGTTAGGGTCTTCTGAGTCAACTTCAGGTTGTCATCTCATCCCAAGGCTTAACTATTTCCACCAGAGTTGAACTCCTGAAAGATACAATCTTTGTCTGGAGTTCATCAACTTCACCCTCCGGCTCTTGTCTTTTACATGTTACTTACCCCCTTCCCCACCATTCTCCCAAGCCTTTATATTCCTCGCTTTGTTTTAGGGTCTGTTTCTGGGAAGATTCAGCAAGGCTGGCCATGGTTTTAGAGCCCACTTCCTGAACTTGTCATTCACTCCCCCACCCTTGGGACTAACTCCAGTTATCCAGAGATTCCGTTATCTCACGTGCAAAGTTAAAGTTAGCCATTCCTTTCATACCCACACCGCTTGGCACTCTGAGGATGGATAGACCGTGTGCAGAAATGCCCTGCTTCTTAAAGTCACAATTAAATTTCTCGAATTTCTATTAAAAGGCCGGAAGTGTTAAAGTATTTCCCAGATTACCGAACAATCCTCAACAGTTTTCAAAGCCTTTTCAAAGTTGGTATGGTGTATGTGCTTTTTCTGTGCTTTGCTTATTCCCAGGGAGTGATTTACACACTTGACAATCAGATACAGACCTAAATAAAGAACCCTAGCGTCCTACAGTAACCTGTCATGGAAATTTGGTCTGTCTCTTTTCATTTCTAGGAGAACAATGACTAAGATAGAGGTAACATGAAACATCGAGACTTCTCTTTGGAAAAAGCACAGTGGCCAGAGTGTTAGTAGGAAAATGCTCCAAACCTCTGCAGCCATGAACTCATTTATTTCCCCTTGCTGGTTTGTGATAAGATGCAATTTTATAGCTGTAGATAAATATTACAGTTAATAAGTATACATAAAATGTTTTGTTTTGTATGAGACAGGACCTAACTCTGTAGCTCAGGCTGGCTACAGGAGGCAATCCTCCTGCATTGGCCTCCAGAATGGTGGGATTATAGGTATGAGCCACCAAGCCTGGCATAGATTTCTTCTAAATATACTTAGCTTGTATTCTCCAGATTCATACTTTATAAAAAGTAAAATGTTCTGAACAAAGAGAGCTGGTGATTCTGTATCAGAAGAAAACTTAGCAGCTGTCTTTCTATCAAGATGAACATTTTCCTATAGTATGTTATCATTTGCATTGCTGGAGACTCCAATTTGCAGGTTTTCTTTCCTTCAACATTGATTTATTTATTTACTTTTGTGTTGCTGCGAGTGGACTGAAGACTTCATGCATGCTCCCTAAGCACACTAACATTGAGTTATAGCCCAGACCCCCCCCCCCACACACACCCCACCCCCAGATTGCCCTTGAACTCACAGAGCTCTGACAGTCTCTGGAATTAAGAGTTCTGGAATTAAGGGAGTAGGCTACCCCACCCAGCCCTCTTTCAAAGGTTATGCTTTTGATTTGCATGGGCGGGCTGACACAAATGCACATACAAGTGTTGAAAATACAGTTTCATACAAAGAACTGTACCAGGCTGAAGTCATTTTCAACTTTTTTGTGCATCTTTAATCCTCCCCCGCCCCCCTCCCCCTTTAAAATTTAGTAGGAGGCGTGAGTTTCAAAGCAAATGTGTAAGGTCTAAAATGTTCAGCCAAGTGACAGGGGCTAAAACTTTCGACTATTAACTTAGATGTCAGGAAAATACAAAGCTGATTGTAGAGGACAAAGTGAGGGTAATCCAGATGGTTTTATTTATTTATTATTTTTTTGGTTTCTGTCTCAAGCTTTGGAGCCTGTCCTGGAACTCGGTCTGTAGACCAGGCAGCCTTGATTTACAGAGATTCTCCTGCCTCTGCCTCCCGAGTGCACCACCACAGCCCTGCTCCAGAGGTTTCACACAAGAAATATGGCCTAAAGTAAAACAGCTAATTCCCATCATGCAGATGACTTGACCATTGACAGGAATTAAGATAACAACAATACAAATAGGATTATAGACCTAGTAGGTTAGGAATGTTTTATCATAGTTTCATATGAATAATTAGGTTTTTATGAAGTAAGACCTTTTGTAACCTAGGGTGGCCTTGAATTACCAGCTCCTATCGAAGCTACTCAACAAGTGTAGGGATTATGGTCAGTGCTGCCAGGTTGGGCTGATGATTGTTTGCGCTCTGGGAGAACTCGGATAACTGAAAACAACTTCAAGAGGTCTTTATCCCAGTGTCTGCTCGAAGAGGCTCTCAGAACAGTACACAACTATGAAAGCTGAAGCAACAAAAGACGGATATATTGAGATAAACGTTCACACTTTCAGACTGAATTTTCCTGTTCTAGTGTCCCACTGGGTTGTCTTCGGATACTTGTTTATTTTAAATTTTATCTTAATGATGCGAGGGAAGAAACGAACCTTTGGTTTAGCCTTGACTACAGGGTGGCGGAGTTCCCGTCCTGTTTACTGGGTACTTTCTGAACACAGGTGTCATCCAAATTCCTTCAGGGCTAAGGGAAGCCAATGTTCATCGTAAGGGTCCCTGGAAAAAGTCTCAGCAACCGTCTGCTCTTGCTCCTCTTGCCCAGGGTTCAAGCTCACCTGTGCCTCCCAGGAAAGCTACCGGTTAGCAAGGAAGCTCCCTGCAGGGATG